TGAAAATTTAAATTGTTATTGCCTCTTCTATAACTGATTGTTTTCAATAAAACTGTGTATTCATAACTCTATAAATTGGAATTTGATTAATTAGTTGTAGCACTAGTAATAGTAGTAATAGGTATTCAAAACTAAAAAATGTAAGATTTTAACCAAACTATATTTTTTTTTCTCCCCCTATACCCATAGTATACACAAAGTAGCCTATTATTTTGATTTTGGTAACATTTTAGAGTTTAAGAATTGGGTGAGTATATGCCTATCCATTTTGAGTTGCCCTGGACCCAAAATAATGGTTTTCGAAGTTATGTCTGTGTGTGTGTTGATAGCACTATGCTGCCAAAAACATTTTGATAACCCTTTGAAACATTGATAAAACATTTTTACTACTTAAAGACATTTTTATTAAAATATATTCATTTTCAGAAATCCCATTATGTTTCCTTTCAGAATAAAACAAGCCTCACACCTTATGTTTATCACACACAAAAATTGTTGACTGTAAAAACATTTTGAGAAAAATAGCATACACAAAATAAAAAGGATGTTAAAAACAATTTGGAACAATCAGAATCCATTCAGCGTGTAAAGTGGTGCACTCCTAAGACTGTGATGCATATAAGTAGTGAAGCCAGAGAAGTACAGTATTGTAGGAATGTGTTGTCATACCTACATTTTGAGTCACAACAAAACATACTTATCAGCTGAGTGGGCGTTCACAAATACTTCTGTTGTGACCCAGTGTGGTGATTAGTGAAAAGCCACTTCCTCACTTCGGTAGTCAAACATTCTGATATTAAGATCCCGATTTTGATACAGATAAAAAGGGTATGAGTAATTGAATCCTTTGTAAGGATTTCAAAAATTTGGTGTCGGTCTATAATTTTAAAAAATTGTTATAAAATACTAAAATCATTTAACATAAAAAACTCAAAGTATTAACATAAGGCCTACATTTGTATTTTGCAACTTGTAGCAAAAATATAGATATTATGAAACAAAAAGTAATAACATATTTATTTTACAAAACATGAGAATTTTACAAAGTTATCAGTGGTACGCTTGCCTCAATTGAAACTCTTTTAGTCAACTGAGAGACAACGCATAGTAAACTGATTGCCTAAAATGAGCAAACCAATAGAAACTACTAATAAATAAAAATACCCCCGTCGCAGCAAACCTGCATACTAAGCGAATTTCCATTCACCCGGCTTGATTTCTACTAAAATATTCCCAATAAATTTTCAGACTTATTTCCTATTTAAATAACATAAATTTTAGTGAGTAGTTAGGTTTGCTGCTACGGGAAAGATGTTGAGGAGTGTTTTTTCAATTGAAATATTGATAGCTTAGTATGAAATAAGCCAAATTGCCAAATTTGATTGAAATATATCCATAAACAAGCAAACTAGAACAGTTTATTTATTCTCCATAAGAATAACATGGGAATTTTAAATTTACAATTTCTTTAATTTTCTCCGTAGTCAATGAACATTCAAAAAAACTTCAATATACTAAATTATTTGTTTTTTTAAGCTCTTCAAAATGGTCTAGAGAGAAATTTAGAAATTTAAAGTTTTTAGGGTCAAATATGAGAAAACCCCATTTTTACCCCATAAAACCCCCCATAAACCCCTGATCCCATGGTCCGATTATGCTGGTTTGCGAACTCGTTCGAATAAATGTAGGTTTACACGTTTGTACCAAATTTCATCAAAATCGGATCAATTTTGCTTGAGTTATCGCGCTAACGGACACATATATAAATATATATATATATATATATATATATATATATATGAATTTGACCGGATGGTGTTTTTGGCCTCTGGGGACCTCAAAACGAAAAAGTAAATCGGTCCCGGGTCTAGGTCTTACCATGAGACCTACGGTAATAGCTTATTCCCTATATGGGAAATTCGCTAAAAGAAGTTGCAACATTTTAGCCTATAAATTGATAAAAATGTTTTACACTGCATTTTTTTAAATAGTTTTATCCAATTCCCCTAGAGGGAAGTAGGCCTAGCTATTACTGTAGGTGGCATGGTAAGACCTAGACCCGGGACCAATTTACTTTTTCATTTTGATGTCTCCAGAGGCCGAAACACTCTTCTTTCAAATATATATATGAATATGTCTGAGAATGTTATAACGCCAATAGCTTGAGTAATTTGGTCCGATTTTGATTAAATATAGCTTAAAGGTGTAGGGCGGGATAAACTTTTGAATGAGTTTGGGAACCAGCTAAACCGGGTCACAGAAAGTACCTAATTAGTAGTTTTAATATTTCCAAAAATTTGTTTTGATTGCGGTTATCATGTAGAGTTTTGAAAAAATACTTTTTCTGAAAATTTGTAAAATTAAAGGTTACGGAGAAAATTTTAATAAACTGTACAGATTCTTATGTTATTCTTTTGGAGAAAAATAAAACTGTTGTAGTTTAGTTGTTCGTTGATGTATGTTAATAAAATTTGTTTATTACGTACTTACTATATACTATTTACTTTTGGTCAAGAAAACACTGTTTACCATTCCCGTAGCAGCAAACATAATGATTTATTCCCAGCTTTGATATTTATGTGTGATTTCAGAATACATTATTTACTAAAGACAATTAACTATAACAAGCAATAAATATTAATTGGAGCACAAGAGTATTTGGTTTACCTCAATAATTTATCATATCTTGAAACACACACATGTTATCATTTCAATGATGTCCAGCCCTATCACAAGAATTGTTTACTAAATGGTTACACTGTTGAAATTGAATTTCTAATAGTAAATTGTGTCACCTGCCGTCTTGCGCTGTTCAAGAGTATTGAACGCCAAAATATTGAAGGACAGTGTGGCTACATGTTACAACTATGTCAAGGATATGTATTGTAGTGTGGAATATACTGACAAATGGAGATGTTTGTGCATATAGATGAGTTACTAATGACGGGTCTCCTGTACATACAAGACATCTTCAGTCGGTAAAAATAACCTACAGGTCGTTCAATGAATGAATGAACCTTGAAATTTATTTCTTTTAACTATGCGTTAAAAAAATAATTTTTCTTTCTTACTTTCCCTTTTGAGGTTAGCTAATTTTGAGGCTTTTGCGTGCTATGTGAGTGGATTACACTGACATTTTTCTATAAAATTTAGTCCCATTTTATGTTTGTCTAATTTGCCCCTCTATGTGTTTTGAATTCTATAATCACGCTTTTGGTATGCCTACAGTAAGCTAATTTATAGACTTTTGCATGTTGGGTAGGTGTAATTTGCTAAAGCATTTGTTGTTAGATAAGGGTCATAAAAAATTTTGGAAAAATATTAATTCACTCATTCATTACACTGATAGCTTTAGGATCAGATAATTCTAAAACTAAGATCTAGCGAAACTTTTGAAAATTACTAAATAAAAATATTAGGTATATTTAAGTAAACAGGAAATGTGTATTAGAACAGTTTACAAGAATCATTGACAATTGAAAAAGCAAATATTGTCAAACTGATAATTTCAACACAGTAGAATATTGTAAATTTTACTAATAGAAAACTATGAAAATATGATTTAACCCTTTGAGTGCCAACGTCCGGGGAACCGGACGTTTTTAAAACGAGCCAAAAGTGCCGACGTCCGGCCGACCGGACGTTTTTAGAACGAGCCAAAAGTGCCAACGTCCGGCTGACCGGACGTTTCGTAATGATCGAACAGTTGTCATAACAACCGAATGGATACTCGGATTCTTTTAACCCATATATTAACATTGAGTCGAAAGTTACTAGATGCGATACATCGATTTTCGTTGGTCGAAATATCGAAAATTCGATTTTTACGAAATTTTAACCTAAAAATCGCCAGATCGCGCTCGGCATTTTTAGCGCGACCTTCGGGAAAAATCATCGGCATTTTTTGAGCGTTACTTTTATTTCTCGCCTGGCACTCTAAGGGTTAATTTTGTACGAATAATGTTCTTATTTAATTATATAGCCTAATTTAAAAGTAGGCCTAGGCTTAAAGTCAAAAGTGAGGATAGTAGATTAAACTAAATAATTTGTAATAAAACTGCAATAGTAGACAAGCTAATTAAGGTTCAAACCCCAATTACTATTAAAATTAATGCTGTTGAGAATAAAAAAACAATTATACAGCAACATTGTTGGCTATTTTTAAATATTTTTTTAGGTCAACAACTAATTGATTTGTTAACCCTTCCCGGACGGCCTATAATATGTATACAGACAGCAAGATGAATAAAAAATTAAAATTTATCTTTTTTACATAGGCTACTTTAATTTATAGAATGTAAATAGTTGACCTATGCAGCGCTTTTGTCCAAATTATGTTTTTTTTTCTTTTTTATTCTTCTAGAAAAACATTCCTAGTACATCGGTTAAAGATATAATTGAATAAAAGACAGTTTTTACGAAGATTAATGTTGTTATATATAATCAACTATAACAATAGATGTCGTAATAATCGGCAAAATAGATAGGCCTGTATCTTATTGTAGATAGGCCATATCCGCTTACCGTTCGCCATGCACAAAATTATATCGAATATATCCGCCTAGAGTCCGGGAAGGGTTAGGCTTACAAATTTGTTTTAAAACGTAGTTTTTAGAGCTGTTGTACAGAATTCTTTGATTAACGCTTTTTTCTATTTTTAACAGAAAGAACCACATTTTAGCAAACAAACAAATTCTCATAGCTTCAAGTGGGTGCAATTGCTTCATTTGCAAAGAAAAATAAGCTTAACTAGGTTGACAAAGAGACAGATCATTTTTTGTTTTTAAATTAAACAAAATCATGTCATTTACTTATGAGCCCGACAACATTAAAAATACCTTTAATTTTTAATAACTGCTCAAACCCTGGTGTCATGAAATGGTTTCGCTCTTCACATAAAGACATTACTTAGCACAATCAAATCTTGGTGCCACAATGCAATCGCATGTTTTAAATTTAATAGATCACCGCTCAAGGTCAGACAAATGATAATCACTCACCATTTCTGGAGACGTCAAGCTCAACAAGGCTTTCAAAGTTTTGAATGTCGGGCGGTAGCTTTTGGATCTCATTGTCGCTTAGTCCTAGTTTTCTTAGACGATGAAGTCGGAAAAAATTCTGAAACAAAGAATTCCCTGGATGAAATAAAGGTTATAATTGGTTAGCCTCTTGTATAACAAAATTGTTAAAAGGATTGTTGGAGATGTTTGATGTTTCCTGGTTTGAAAAACACACATTTTACATAATTAAGGATCTGGAATCCAACCTCCTATTCTAGTATATGAAAGAAGCTAGAACATGACTAAGTTTAATACACAAACCAGGCATGGACAGGAAACACAATAGGCCTAGTTGAAAACAACAGCTGTTCAGAGCAGACAAAAAAAAATAAAAAACAATTTTAAAAGCGGAAAACGCATAAGAATTTTAAATAAAATACACTACCGGACCACACATGAGTTAGTTTGCTAGAGCTGTCTCAAAAGGCCGGCACTGCGGCGTTGCCACTATGCCTCGGCTTTGTACTAAGGGAAGCTATAGAGTATGTTACCACATCACTAACAGTCTTTCTTTTCAGGGAAATAATTAGAGTGAGGCCCTAGGGCCCATTAATGTTTTGTATTTCTCCATAAGATTAACATGGGAATCGAAAATTGTTATGAAACTCCAGCTGTTGTCAGAAATTAAAAGTGAGAAGAAGAACATATGTTAATTGTTAACAGTCAATAAGTTTGCTAATTTAACAGTTTGCTACAATTATTTACTGACTTGGTTGAAATGAAATATTTTCTATTTGAATTTGGGTTGGCGTAAATATTACAATGGAAAAATCGAGAGAGCCTGGATAAATTGATATACCAAAAGGAAAACTGAATTACACTGTGCTGCATTTCTTAGTAATGATTGAAAGAGCCGATTTGCAAACTATGGAAACATAGGGAAGTCATAGAACACCACCAAGGAGAAGAAATAGAAATAATGTGTGTTTTTTTTAGAATTTATAATTGTTATTATGGACAGCCTAATGCGGCTATGAGTAAGGCTATTCGTAGAAAACACCAAAAAACCAAATCAGCTTTTGAAAAATGATAAGACATTTACAAGAAATTGTGATTATATCGATCTGTTATGTACATAATGAGTATTTCCATAATTTTTTTGTTGAATCTTAAAGTCATCAGAAGTTATTACTGTCATTCGTTTTAAAATAACGCCTGTTATACTTAGCAATTGCTCGAATTCGAGCAACAGGGACACTAGTATATTTTAATAACATTAGGTTTAACGAATACCTAGGTTTGCTGCTACAAGGAAACTAATAAAGTGTGTTTTATAGTAAAATAATGATAGCTTAGTACAAAATAAATAAATTTGCCAAGTTTGATCAAAATATATCCATAAACAAGCAAACTACAACATTTGACAATATTCTCCATAAGAATAACATGGGAATTTTAAATTTACAATTTTTTAAATTTTCTCCGTTACTAATAACCGAACAAATATACTTTTATATACTAGGCCCTAAATTATTTGTTTTTTTAAGCTCTTTAAAAAGGTCTAAAGAGAAATTGGGAAATTTTGTGTTTTGAGGGTCAAAAGACAGAAAAACCAATTTTTACCCCATAAAACCCGGGCCGTAAAGCCCCATTCCCATGGTCCAATCATGCTGGTTCGCGAACTCATTCAAGTTTATCTCGCTTTACACCTTTAAACCAAATTTCATCAAAATCGGACAAAAATTACTCAAGTTATCACGTTCACGGACGTATGTAAATCTATACATATATATACATATATGAAAATTTGAACGAATGGTGTTTTTGGCCTCTGGGGAGATCAAAATGAAAAAGTAAATTGGTCCCGTGTCCAGGTCTTACCGTGCCACCTACGGTAATAGCTACTTCCCTATAGGGAAATTCGCTAAAATGAGGATGAAGGTTTGTTTACCTCCAGGATTTAGACCTTCAGCATCTGATCCAAATCAACTACAGTAGATTCCCTCTTACCCGGACACCTTTTAACCGGACATTGGTTAAACCAGACTACACTCGGCGGAAATGACATAAATGACACTCTTTAATCGGGCAGTTTTTATCAGCTCATCGGTTTAACCGGACATAGATCGGCAGGGAGTGGGCGGTACTGAAACAACTGTTCTCGTGGGAAATATTTGAGACCAGTGATCACGTGTCTAAATACAATGCTCTCCTAAATTTACACTTGTTTTCTCCATAGGGCCTATTAATGCATGTTAATTGTTTGCAATGTTATTCATACTTCTTTAGACATTTTGACACAAAATAATTAACAGTACACCTTACAAGATCCACCAAGTAGGCCCTATCCTAGTTTCCTACATAAATTCAACCACCCAAAAAATCTTTCAGGTGTAAGTTAGATCCTACGTTTTTAGAGTAAAAATAGAAGTAGGCCTAAGCAGTATTGTAGGTCATTACTAACTTAGAATTTACCTCAATCAGTAATTTGTCGGGCTTGGTTTTGAATTTAAGAAGCAGACATAAACTTCATCGACTTGGTCATTGAAAACCAAAAACTCTTTTGGGTAGCTGCTTGCTGCTACGCGGCATTAAGTTACCGAAACTTCACAACAAACAATCATGGAATATTTCACTGCTTTGTGTAATAAGGACTATACTGTGGCAAAACATTCAAGTTACATGATAAAAACTGTAGGCCTAATAGCACACCAATAAGCCTGCAATTCTTGCAACTTAAGTTAAGTGATTAATTAGACCAAAATAAAACTAGTCTATTTCCTAAAATAATGGATGATGCATACAATACACTTAAAACATCACACATAGGTTATTTCACTACTTATACTAAGTTTTACTATACTTAAAAAATGTTTAACTAGGCCTACTTAAAAAATAATGGTTTAGCTGCAAGAACGGCACCGTTTAACCACAAAATGAGAAAGGTTGAAGGATGTCCCCAGAGTTAATGCTGATAAAAACACAGAACAACTACCTACACAATAAACAAGGAAGTGGTGGATCCAGCCAGGATCATGAATATCGCCCCAAACACCAAGATTTGCTAACATCTCCCAAAATTACGGTGAAATTATTGCATAACTTAGGTCTAACAACCAGTAAACAGAAAATGACATTTTTCACCAATACTCAGTTTTGGCTATAAAAAAAAACAGGATCGGTTAACAACCCCCCAACTTTAAAAACAGGTTTTATTTTAAACCCTTAAATACATGGTCGCTAAGGTTTTGTTGATAGGCCATTGTGGCATAAACTCAGTCCACGCAATAATATGTAATTAGGCCGTTTAAGTTATAGTCTATAAGTGCGGCCCTCCCTCAGCAAACTGTTTCGGTCAGCACTGCAATGCGCCTCTGAAATAAGCTAGGTGATAAAAATGTTTTAATTCACTGTCACAGATAATTTTCTGTCCAAACGAGTTTCAAGTACCTAAACTTAAGTTTAGCTTAAGCTTAAGCAACTTAAGTTTGAAGTCTATATCCATCATATTTTTTATCTACGGCAGTGGTAATTTTCACATTTTTTCTAAGTTAACTTAGAGGGACAGTCTAAGTAAGACCCTGATATAGGCCTAGGTACTATCATAGACAAAAAGAATTAAATAAAGACCGTCAGCTGTGCTGCGGTTACCATAGCTTCTGGCGCACACCGCTTGGAGCGCCATGTATTTACGGCGTACACGCTACGTAAACTACAGCGGTGTGCGCTGGAACCTATGGTAACCATGGTAACCGCAGCACGGCTGACAGTCTACATTTAATTCTTTTGTCTATGGTACTATCTAACAAACATTGACATTTTGTTAGAAAGCATCATTAATTAATGACAGATTGCAACCAGAGCAGCACACTCATTGGGAATTTACACTTATATCCAGGCCCAACATGAATAAGTTAATAAGTACCTGGGGACCGAGCTTTGCTCGGGGAAAATCATTAGTTTACTCTGAAAGCAGTCTTAGTATTGCAGATACATAAATCCATTCCCAAACTCCACACTGCTTGCCTTTACTACTTCCTTCACCACTTCCTACGTCGCGGACCTGTTTTCTTCCGTTCCCATCACATTTTAGGATTCCAGATACCTTAATCCAATCGTCATAAACAGTTCCCACACTCCGGACAGCTCTCCTTGACTACTTCCTTCACCAATTCCTACATCTCAGACCTGTTTCCCTCCCTTCCCATAGTATTTTAGGAATGCTAATACCTTAATTTAATTTTTCTAATCCTCATAAACAGTTCCCACACTCCGGACAGCTCGCCTTGAGTAATTCCATCACCACTTCCTACGTCGCGGACCTTTTTTCCTCCTTTCCAATAGCATTTTAGGATTGCAGATACCCTAAACTTATTGCCATAAACAGTTCCCACACTCCGGACTACTCGCCTTGACTACTTCCTGCACCACTGCCTACGTCGCGGACCTGTTTTCCTCCCTTCCAATAGCATTTTAGGATTGCAGATACCCTAAACTTATTGCCATAAACAGTTCCCACACTCCGGACTGCTCGCCTTTACTACTTCCTTCCTTGCTAAGTCACGGACAAGTTTCACTCCCTTCCCATAGCATTTTATGATCGCAAATACCTTAATCTTATCGTCATAAACAGATCCCACACTCCGGGCAACTCTCCTTTACTACTTCCTTCACCACTTCCTACGACGCGGATCTGTTTCCTTCCCTTCCCATAGTATTTTAGGATTGCCAATACCCTTATCTAATCGTCATGAGCAGTTCCCACACTCCGGACAGCTCGCCTTGACTACTTCCTTCACCACTTCCTACGTCACGGACCTGTTTCCCTCCCTTCCCATAGCATTTTAGAAATGCAAATACCTTAATCTAATTTTTCTAATCGTCATAAACAGTTCCCACACTCCGGACAGCTCGCCTTGACTACTTCCATCACCACTTCCTACGTCGCGGACCTGTTTTCCTCCCTTCCCATAGCATTTTAGTTGGAAATACCTTAATCTAATCGTCATAAACAGTTCCCACACTCCGGACATGTCGCCTTCACTACTTCCTTCACCACTTCCTAGACGTCGCGGACCTGTTTTCCTCCCTGCCCATAGTATTTTAGGGTTGCAGATACCTTAATCTAATCGTCACAAACAGTTCCCACACTCCGGACCACTCGCCTTTACTACTTCCTTCACCACTTCCTACGTCGCGGACCTGTTTCCTTCCCTTCCCATAGTATTTTAGGATTACCAATGCCCTTATCTAATCGTCATAAACAGTTCCCACACTCCGGACAGCTCGCCTTGACTACTTCCATCACCACTTCCTACGTCGCGGACCTGTTTTCCTCCCTTCCCATAGCATTTTAGTTGGAAATACCTTAATCTAATCGTCATAAACAGTTACCACACTCCGGACATCTCGCCTTCACTACTTCCTTCACCACTTCCTACGTCGCGGACCTGTTTTCCTCCCTTCCCATAGTATTTTAGGGTTGCAGATACCTTAATCTAATCGTCACAAACAGTTCCCACACTCCGGACCACTCGCCTTTACTACTTCCTTCACCACTTCCTACGTCGCGGACCTGTTTCCTTCCCTTCCCATAGTATTTTAGGATTACCAATGCCCTTATCTAATCGTCATAAACAGTTCCCACACTCCGGACAGCTCGCCTTGACTACTTCCTTCACCACTTCCTACGTCACGGATCTGTTTCCTTCCCTTCCCATAGCATTTTAGGATTGGAAATACCTTAATCTAATCGTCATAAGCAGTTTCCACACTCTGGACTGCTCGCCTTTACTACTTCCTTCCTTGCTAAGTCACGGTCAAGTTTCCCACCCTTCCCATAGCATTTTATGATTGCAAATACCTTAATCTTATCGTCATAAACAGATCCCACACTCCGGGCAACTCTCCTTTACTACTTCCTTCACCACTTCCTACGTCGCAGATCTGTTTCCTTCCCTTCCCATAGCATTTTAGGATTGCAGACCATAATCTAATCGTCATAAACAGATCCCACACTTCCCTATACTTCGCACTGCTAGCCTTTACTAGGCCTACAATGTATCGAGTAATCTTCAGTATAATCTTTGCTCAATTGTAACAAGTGATGTTTTCCCTTTTGTACTGTATTTGTAATTTGCTAGTATACTGTGGGTAGTTGGCTTATTATGAACACATGTTACAACTTCAAGTCTTTGTTTAATTTTTCCTTGTTATTTAATTCAACCAACATGGTTACTTAGCAACCCATAAGACTAATGTTTAAAAAATGTGACTTTCAGTTTCATTTTTCTACGCTATTAGATTTTTGTTGGCAGTTCTAACTGTAGTAAACTCGTTTTTAGGCCAAAAATAATCTATTTACAGTCTAACCTTGATATAACGAACCTCGATATAACGAATTCCTTGATATAACAAATTTTTTAATCCCCTAGAACTCTCCATGAGACACAATGTATATTTTACCTCTACATAACGAACAAACCATAACAACGACCCTGATTTAACGAATTTTTCGTGATTTCGGCTGAAATAAGACACCTCAGTATAACGAATTTATCATTGTCAGAACCTCTACATTGCGAATTTAACCTCTGCATAACGAACTGTCTACGTCTTTCCCTCGATATAACAAATCCCTCACCCAATTATTGTTTTGGGAAAATCTGTTTCTTTTTCAAATGAAATGGAAAGGTCACGTCATCGCTTGCGCTAACATTCGTCTCCGTTTTAAATCTTTGTCTGCTGTCGCTGCGCTCGCTATGTTGCAACTGAGAACTGAACTGATTTCATTCACTGAGGATTGATGACGACGAAATGTTTAGTAAGCTGTGATTGGGGGATATGGGATAGCTATGGTAAACTGTACAATTTTCGGATAAAGAGAAAACTAAGAAAGAATATAAAAAAAAACAAAGAGAAAGAATAGCAACATCGTTATCTTAACATTCCTTTTACGAGTGTTTTTATTACCTATCCTTAAGTTGGCTATGATTATACACTTTTATAATGACTTATCTAATAATTTATTGTTTTCAATACGATTTGTTTCAACTAGCAACACCAATGCTATAGTTAATGATTATTATTGATATTCCTCTGTTGTGATAAATCAGTACTGTACTGTAGCCTACTGGCCTATCACGAGCAGTTAGCTTACAAAACTTTCTAATGTTTTGTTTTGTTCTTTACATGGTTTATGACTACGCAATACAGTGTTTGGCTAGGTTTTAGGAGGGTTAGAACAAGCTGTGATTTTAAACTTACAGTTTTTAACCTGTACCAAGGTCAATGCCATAGTCATGATTGAGCAATATTCAAGATCCCTCCCCTTTATTATGCCGGATAATTTAGGTTCTACTGTACAATGTAAACACTGTACTGTAAAGTATTGTATGCTACTTTAATTGTATTTTAATGAGGTCAAATCCCGACCTATATTGACCGACGCTGGTTCTGAACCTCGACTTAGCGAAATTCTTGCAAATCTAACCTCTATATAACAAACCTCGTTTTAACATAAATATTATGCCTTAATGTTGAGAAAAAACATTATTATTCAAAATACAAAGTTGAAAACCTATGAACATAATTTAACAAACATTAACAACCCTTTAGAATTGGAAATCTTTTAAAATTAGAAGCCTCAGTCCTTTGATATAAAAAAATCATTAAAAATGAAAAGACAATTGTTTCAAAATTTCAGGACAAACAATTTCCGTAACATTGAAGATCAATAGAAAAGCTCAATTGAGTTAAGGTCTTTTCTGTGCCTCCATGTGGTATTGGTTTTGGAAGTTTCCGTTCTATGTCCTGTTCAAGAGCCCCTAATGTTGGTTTTTATTTTAGGTTAGATTTAATTACCACCAAACTAAGATGAATACACAAAAGAAAGAAAGTGGAGTGGCTTGGTAAGGTATAAAACTAAATATCTATGTTAATTTTCATTTTTAATATATAGGTACAATAACTTGCCAAAATAAGATATCTTAACACTACCTGTTTCAACAATCAGACTACCAAAAACAAACATGTGCTTCTAACTTCCCTCCAAATAATTGTACACTCTAGATTTTTCTCCTCAGTGTGACCAACCTAGAGACCTTTAAAAAGAAAATTTACCTGGTTTATTGGAAGTAGTTCAGTATAATATATTAACTATGGCCCACCGTGCCCCAGTTTCCCCTATAATTAACATTGTTTTCAAGCTTCTCAGATCCGTTTTAATAAAACCTTGCAAATGAGCAAAAAATAGGCAGACATTAAGGCCAAAACAAGGGACACTCGGAGGGTTAAAACACTTAATACAGTCACGAATCTGCATAAAACCCGACCTACCTTCTCCACAAGCCTAAATAACTTAACACGTTCGCTGCTGACCACTAGATGCCGGGACAGCGCCAAGAGCTGAACTAACGCTCGGCCGCTGCGTGACATTGCCGCCGATACACTGAATTACACAGTAAAAACAACAGTAGTTATACTGGATGGCAATGTTCTGCAATAAAACTGTTTTGGACATAGTACTAAGTGATTCTGATAGATAGCAGCACTACACAGGTTACAGTCGGTAAAGTAGTGTCGCTATCTAGCAGGAAAGAGGTGAAACAAAGCCCTGTTCCAAACAACCCTGGTGGTGATTTTGGGAAACTATATTTTTTATTGTCAGAAAAGTACACGTCCCCACGAGCTGCAAAGAAATATAGGACGCTTGTGACGAGCTGGCTTATCCATAGCAACGTTAAACAAAACAATGAATGGTGACGTTCCGGAATGTTCCTAGCTCCTGGCGCTGTGGCCCGGCTGACGTTCCGGAACGTCTGTAGCAGCGAACGTGTTAAAGAGCTGATTACTTATATTTAGTTTCAAAACAAATTTATTTCATTCCGCATTTAACTTAGTCAAGTATAAACAGCTGTTTGCTCTCCTCACTCAAACTTCAGCCCACATATACTGGGTCCCGTCCAGACCACGCCTTATTAAGTTACCATCGGTAGGCCTACCGCTTACTTAACGAACCTTATTCGTAATCTTAACCTTCCTCTTTCAGCCACTTAGAAATCTTCCCGACAAAAACTGATTGCATTTTTGGATTCAGCGTGAAAAAAACTGTAAGTAGCCTAAATATATCAAAATGACATCCTATTACAATGTAGACATACGGAACAATTGCAGAAATTTGTTTGGTTAAATCCCTCCCAGTAGTCTATAAAAGGGCCTAATGAAATAAGATAGGCTACTGAAGAAAGTAGGCATAACTATTAAACTTAACAGTTACAGAACTCAGACTCAGGAACCTAACCCTAAGCTAAGTTAAGCTAACTTAGTCTATCTCCAAAATGTTTATAGCCTAACACATTTGGTTGTTACTTGCCCTACAGTCAAAGTTTACACAGCCAGATTTGGGAACTAATAACAGGTAATACATCGTTGTAAGTTAAGCATGTTTAATTTTTAATTCTAGAAACAACTAGGGTATTGTGTAGTTGTAAAGGAGCATAAAAGGGTTATCTAGGACTGACATAGCCTCATCCAAAACAAATCTTCAGCCCAGCCAAAACACTATAATCTAGTAAAGAAGTAACTATGAATTTAAAATGGATCTTACCTTGGGTAATTCCCGAATGTGATTTGCATCAAGTAGCAATTCTTCCAAACTTCGTGAATATCTTAAAATGTCTTCAGGGACAGCCTGGAGTGAGCAATGACGCTTGTCAACAAATTCGACTTGCCGATTACATCCCTTGAAAATGGGGATACAACGAAACATTTCTTCTCACATGTAAGAAACATCCAACTTCATAATTATTCACACCAAAATAAGGAACTAAACCTCATAGAGTTCTTAACTTTAACGGAGATAATCAGATTTTGACAGCCAACACACCCATAATCATATCACTCACTATACTAAACAACTAGGTGTACACACACACTGACGATGACGTCAACACTCACACACCTGCACACCTCAAAGTTTAAAACCTTTTTTTATTTCGCGCATTCTATCAGAAAACTTGTGAAGCTCCTTCATCACTGCTACCTGTATTTCATGACCAGTTGTTATAGAAACGAGGTAGATATGTACAGTTGTGTCCATACTGCAATATATTTGAGAATGTAAATTCTAAGGAAAAATCATTATTAGAACCATTTACGAAGTATATTTTATCTCTGATTATAATATGTATTATTAGAGGAGATGAACAGCATAAAAGAAAATACACAGTAAAAGCATAGACTAACCAACACAAGGTAAAAGAGGATGTTTTATCTATGGTGGTAAAAGGTACCTACCGGTAACTGAAGACACTGCAAGTATTTACTTTTATGGTAATACTGAACTTATACTACTTATGTTATATTGATTTTTTGTTGCCTGATCTACCGAAATTAGACTAGTTTAAGCACTTTTAGCTTTAGTAATTTTGGGGAAAACGCCTATTTCACCTTGAAAGTCGCATTCAAAATTGGGAAAAATTATAGAAGTCGGCGATTTAAGGCGATTGAAAAACTTTTTACTTTGAAAGTAAATGGTATTTTTCTTCTTATTTAGGCCATTTAAAACACTTGTATCCTCTTCCACTTTTTCGGCAAACACCTAACTTACCGAAAAACACAATTTAAAATCGAGAAAAGGCGTTAAAAATCACTAATTGGCACATTTGACCAGTAAAAGTGTCAATAACTTAATACTCACCTAACTTAACCTAACCTAACTTAACTTAACCTAACCTAACTCAACTTAACCTAACCTTGGTTTAGCCTGAATTGGTAATTTTCGGCAGTTTGCTCACCTAAGCATGGATTAGGTTGGGCTGGGTTAGGTTGGATTAGATTAGGATTAAGCACGAATCCTAGAAAAGTACAAGTTAGGTTGGATTATATTCAATCTGGTTTACCAAAAAATGGGTCATTTCAGCTGATTTAATGTAATTACGTGTTTGTAAAACTTTGTTAAATAATAAGTTACTTTTTTCAGGGAATAGGTTCTGCTGGCAGCATTATTCTTACCATAAATTCTGTATCAGGTACAATTATAGGGAAATTTGCATATTTTTTTGGACAACTGAATAATATAGTGAAACAGTTAATTTACCGTGAGATCTCAGCATCGAATACCATTACCATTACCATTACCAACTCCTATGTCGTTGCCCAACACTTGTTGGATAGACTGCGTCAATTAAAATTACAGTTATAAAACTAATAAAAAAATAACATTCTTATTTAACCAATATTTAAAAAACTAGTGATGGCGGTGCATATTATATATTCGAGAAGTACTCGCCAGACACTTCCTCAAAAGAGTACAGCGGCTCATTTGTGAGTTTGTTAAAAATCCGCATGGAGAAAGCTTTCATGTCTTCAGTGTGGGCCCGAGGCGGTAACATGTTGTAGAATCGCATGGCTGGGATGGGATGGGCTGCCAAGGATCTTGATAACCTGCATCGAGGAATGTCAAGTTTCTGTGCATGCCTGGTGTCATGATTATGGAGATCACCCCTCTGTTGATATTCACCTATGTTATTCCTGAGATTAATCAAGCCGTAATAAACATATTGGCTGAAGATGGTCATAACCTTAAGGTTGGCGAATAGGGGCTTACAGTGGTCTCTATAACCAGCGGCTGACAGCACTCTGACTGCCTTCTTCTGCAGACGAAGCACTTTTATACAGCCAGGAGCATGTCCCCAGAGCAGGATTCCATATCTGATATGGCTTTGAAATAGGGCATGATATACATTTATCAAATATTTATCAGTGATGACCCCCCTAAGTTTCCACAGAAGAAAAACCACACGGGAGAGTTTAACACATACATCACTGATATGTTGTTCCCAGGTAAACTTAGGGTCTAGGCTGAAGCCCAGCAATTTCACGCTGCTTTGCTGATCAATATTCATTGTTTTGCTTAAAGTGCATAACATCCTCTGGGTCTTGTCAATATGTGGCCCACAACGTGTTGGGTGAAAAAGTGGTTAGGAAGTTTTCAAAATTAATTTAGAATCACGTTTTCATTGATAAATTTAACCTCATTTTGTTTCGTCCATTTAATGGATTGCTGGTACCTATGTAATTTCATACCTTTGTTTCGATTTTGGTAACAAAATATTAGCACAAAACAGTGTGCGCTCTCATTTCCATCTCGTCAACTTCACTTTCACTAAATGATATTTTAAAAAAATCAGTTTAATCTACCTTCCTTTAACTTCCACCAACTTAGGTTAAGAATACGCGAGTATCAACAGGAACAAGTCGGATCAACAATTAAAATTGTCAACTGATCAGCTGATTGGTTGACGTACGAAGCATTACAAATTTACCTCTTTAATCTCTCAATCCTTGAATCTCATTGGTCCGTTACCCCGTGTTGTTATGAGAAAAACTATGCTGTTATGAAATAAAACAATGCTGTTATGAAAGTTAACAGCTGTTAAGTGAAACTTTACAATTCTAAAAGCTGAACTGAAATGGCTAATTTAAAAAACGGTCGTAGGTAAACTTTTATTAATCGAGTGATTTTAACCCCGTAATATTTTAAATTTACATGTTTTGTAAGAGAACGTTCCAAACCTGTGTTTTAAATGTTACTATCGATAATAGCCCGATAATAAATGCCATCTCGTTTTAATAATCTGCACTACTCGGGATTGCACTAGCAACCTCCGGTCGGCTTCTCATAAAATAGTTTATGTCTTCAGAGCGCAAACTTATATTAGCGAAAAGTACATACAAACAAAATTTAAGATCTAACTGAGTAAAGATCGTAAAAACAATCATAAATATAATAATAATCCTAAGAAGTTCTTCTAAGATTTCCAGAAATTGAATCAATTTCAATTATGCCAGCTGATCGAAGGGAATCTGTTTTCGATTTGAGATTCAATTATCTTCTAACAATGGCCTTGGTGTCTACAGGTTGCTGTAGCTATAACCGCAGGGTACGTGGATTTTGTGTAAATTGGTGGTTATTTTCATTTAATTCCCATAGGCCTACCTACTTAATTTCCATAAACTAAAATGGTTTTTACTTATTCCTACACATATTGGGATTAATATACAGGGTTTCCAGGAAATCTTTACCAACATTTTAGGGCATTGTTCCTGAGTAAGAAACATATATAAATAGGCCTATCGTATTAAAATGTTTTTCACTTATTATTTTTTTTTTCTTAAAAGTGGTTACAAACGAAATTGAAACTTTGCACAAACATTTATGACAACTAGACAAAGCTAAAAAAATTATGACAACTTTTTAAATTCAAACAACAAAATTGCGGCCATTAAAAAATGTTGTAAAATCAACGGTTTTTGAGTTATTTCAGAAACAATATTTTAAATAGCCGCCATTTTGTTTTATGAATTTGAAAAATTGTTATCATTCTTTTGTAACTTTGTCTAGTTGTCATAAATGTTTTCACAAAGTTTCAATTTCGTATCTTCAACCACTTTCTAGAAAAAGAAAGATCAAAATGGTAGCTGTGTGAGTAACTAAGGACTTCCGGACAATTTAAATATGATATTTAGAATTTAGATATGTTTCTTAGTTTCTTACTCAGGGACAATGTTCCCGGACACTATGTATAATTTAGATGTATACTAATATAAATGGTTCTTTTGCTCTCTGGGGCAATAAATAAAGTCAAATCTATCAAAAAGAAATTGAATGTGTATTTTAATAAATAACTCATACTGCTCTTTCAACGAATACGTCATGATGAAAATGTTTTTATATACCTACGAGGTGTTAGCCCGTCCTACGTACGGGAATTCAGTAGTCAGTTAAAACCGTGTACAATTCAGATCAGCTAGTTTACACATATAAGCTAAAGACAAAGTTTCTTGCTGTTTTAATGTGGTAAACAAATGTTGTGTGACCAAATATGTTTTTATTCCATCATAGGCCTATACGATATGCATTTTAAATCTGATAATTTTACAATAAAACAGCAATTCTGCAATTTTTACGATGTGAAAAGCGTTGAAGTGAGATTTGCAGCAGATTCGCACAGACGCGCACTGATTATAAGTAGCCTACAGTAGAGAGAGTAATAGCATAGATGAATTAATACTAGTGTACCTGTTGCTCGAATTCGAGCAATTGCATTACAGGCGACTCAAAGATTATGGAAATACTCAAAATCTACACAACAGTTAGATATAATCAAAATCTTTTGTAAATATCTTATCTTTTTCAAAAAGCTGATCTTGTTTTTTTAGGGTTTTCTACAAAATTTTCCCTCTCATAGCCGCATTAGGTTGTCTATGATAACGATTATAAATGAAAAAAAAAACATTATTTCTATTTCTTCTACTTGGTTGTGTTCTATGACTTTTTCTATGTTTCCATTGTTTGCAAATCGGTTATTTCAATGATTGCTCAAGAAATCTAGAACAGTGTTAATTCAGTTTTATTTTTATCCTATATCAAATTGTCCAGGATTTCTCACTCTTTTCCATTCTAATAATTACACCAACCCAAGTTTCGTCTACAGATGCAATATGCCAACGAATATCACCTACGTACAATCTCCAAGAAGGGGTAAAAAAGGCAGAAACCAACCCATACAAAATAGATATAAGTTAACTCCAAAAGAAATAATTTTAAGAGTTACTGTGATAATAGGATTTTCCACTGATTTGGTAATAGAACATTATATTGCAAAACATGACACGATGCAGAAGAAAATCCATTTTAAAATCAGAAAACCCATTACAAATACTGTACTTCATTTTGGCAAATTCAATAAATTACAATTTAAATATTAACAGATGTTTCATTAAAAAGTAGTGTAGAATTATGCATATGGTCATAATGTAAACAAATCTGAAGAGGCGACTTTAAAGGCTTCTGGGGCAGAGCCCCAAGGGAATTGACCTCGTTCCTCTTTTGATGGCTCATCTACAGACCAAGACCT